TGTTTGCACTTTAGGAAGTGCACCTGGGGTACTCGAAATAGCCAGAGGAGCTGTGGGAAGCTCTGTATGATGTGTCTGAGTTGAAGATTGTGTTGCTGAAGTGTTGGCTTGAAAGGTGTTTTCCAAATTCTCAAGTTTGTTTGCTATAGTTTGTATAAAGGCAAACAGTTGTTGCATCTGCTGTTCAGCAGTAGTTGTAGGAGCTTGGTCGTCCTCCATTGTAGTATCGAAGTGCTGCTATAGGAATAGTTGAAGCTTGAAGCAGGCAAGGTGTAATGGTGGGTGCACCAGATATGAGAATCTAGCCACCCAAGGAAGGGATGAATTTACTAAGACAACACACTGTCTTAGGAAACAGAGCCAAAGGGTTGTAGCTTAGACTATTCCACAACGCAGCAATCAGGTGTATGATGTGGTGAAGTGGTTTAGACAAGTTGCAACAAATGTTGAGTCTGAGAACTCAGGGGTAAGTCAGAGGTTAGCACCTCACTGACTTTTCAAAAACAGAGAATAACAAGATCAATGCTTGGAAGCTTGTAAAAGACGTGGAAGTATGTGATAGTCGATTTACTGTATTGCCTGCTTGCCCTTTCTTAAGGAAAGGGCAATCCTATTTATGCCAAAGGAGTGTAGTTCTCTCATTTTCCATGACTTTCCATGACTAACCAGGCTTGGTAAATGTATTAGAAATCAAGTGCGACCCACAACTAGCTTGCTAATCATGTAGTGAACGTAAGAGAATCCCATAGAACCATCTCTTGGGTTCCTAGCCTATAGGAAGTGAAAAGGAGGTCCAAGGTCAGAGTACCTATAGACAAATTATGTCATAACTTAACCAATCTTGTGGGTAACTAAGGAGCGATGACGTGTAATGAATCATAGAGGATTGTAGAAGCTTCTAGAGCTATCGTTCATGTTCCTAGGCCTCTAGTTGGTAGAGATATGCCATGTGGTAGTATTGGCCCACCCCCTTAAGGAGGAGATTTTCTTAATAACTTGTTCAATGAGTGTCCAAATGATATGCCGTGATGTATGTAGCATAAACAGATGTAGTAGAAGAGTTTGCAGCAATCGTTCAGTAGTATTGCTTCTGTTGTTGGTGTGATAAGCCAAGATATGTATGGTGACTTGTAGGTTTGAGGAGGAGATTTCTAAGTTTGCTCTTGAGTTTGATAGCAAACTGAGTGCAACGAATGTCAGTATGACACAATCGAGGTCCTGACGGATCACAACAACCTGAAATACTTCATGGAAACCACCGCCCTCACAAGAAGGCAGGCGCGGTGGGCGCAGGCGTTGTCAGCCTACGACTTCCAAATATCCTATCGAGCTGGCAAGACCAACCCCGCAGATGGGCCGTCTAGGAGACCAGACTATGAGGAAGAGAAGGGTAGCCAGAACGTGATGCTTCCTACCCTTCGAAACAAGCTCCAGAAAGCCATACAGGCAGGAGAAGAAGCCCTGCAGATGAGGCGGGTAGTGGCTGACTTACAAGAAGTAGGCACCACACTGGGCGAAGACCAGAGTAAGGACACCAAGAGTCCAGGTCTCGTTGTCCCTCGAGTTATGGTGGCAGCCATGGCTCAGGGAGAGAGCGCCTACAGTGCCACGGCCGAACCCTTAGCGGATCTGATCAAAACCCTTCAAGCGGCTGACGAGCTCGCTGTTCACAGGGCCAGAGAAGCAGGGTCGGCGTGGGCGAAGGGCTCTTCAGGTTGGAGAGTAGACGATGCAGGCATCCTACGCTTCAAGGGAGCGGCCTACGTGCCTCCCAATCAGGCAGTACGTATGGAAATCTTCAAGATTTGCCACGACGACCCTTTGGCTGGGCACTTCGGATATAAGAAGACCCAGGAACTGATCCGACGGAAATACTACTGGCCTGGATTAGACCAGGAAGCCAGGGAGTACGTACGTGGCTGCGATCGGTGCCAGCGGATCAAGCCGGTACGGCATAGACCCTACGGCGAAATGCAAGGCCTCAGAATGCCTACTAAGCCCTTTGAGTCCATAAGTATGGACTTCATCACAGATCTGCCGCCTAGTATAGGAGCAGACCAAGCTAAGGCTTCAGACTCCATTTTGGTAATCGTAGACCGATACACCAAGGTATCCAAATATATACCCTGCCGGAAGACCATTACTGCCACCGAGTTGGGGCGGGTCTTCCTTGAGTATTGGGTTAAGGACTTTGGAATTCCTGCTGAAATAATTACAGACCGCGGCAGCGTATTTATGTGCCACTTCTGGTCGGCCTTCTGTTTCCACCTCAAAGTACGGCGGAACCTATCGACTGCCTTCCACCCTCAATCTGACGGCCAGACGGAAAGGCAGAACCAGAATATTGAGGCCTACCTACGCCTACACTGCAATCAGCACCAGGACAATTGGGTAGAACTTCTTCACTTCGCGGAGCTTACCTACAATAATGCCTTCCACGATTCCATCCAGATGTCGCCAAATCAGGCTCGATACGGTATCAACATCGACCTGCGGCAAGGGATCGAGGACGACCCCATGAGAAGGGAGGTGCCGGTTGCAAGAGACCGAGTCCAGAAGATCCTCGACCTACGAAAGGAGCTTGAAGAGGCCTGGGCGAGATCGAAGGAAGCCCAAGTCCGAGGATATAACAAGATCCACAAGCCAATGCAGTTCATGGTCGGCGAACGGGTGTGGCTTTCTGCCAAGAATATCAGAACCACCCAGCCAAGTAGGAAGCTAGGTCACCGGTGGCTCGGACCGTATGAGATCACCGGGCGGATAGGTAAACAGGCGTATCGATTGAGGCTTCCCCCACGGTATAAGGCGATTCACGACGTGTTCCACGTCTCCCTACTCGAGAGGTATCGGGAAGGCGTTGAGAAGGCCGATCCTCCACCAGATCCAGAGATCGTGGATGGGGAAGAAGAATACAAGGTCGAGGCAGTCCTAGACCACAGGACTGTGCGGAGGGGTAGAGGAATCCGAGAGGAATACCTGATTAGGTGGGCAGGCTACACTGCAGCTGACGATCAGTGGGTTCCAAAGCTTGACGTAGGACTACCGTTAATCAAGGCATATCACAAGGAACAGACGCAGAAGGCAATGTAGTGTATTGTCCTAAACTAAGGGAAAAAACAACGCGTCAAGTTCCGAAGGAGAAGGGCTCACAGACCCAGAAGCAGACCCCGACCCAGACCTAGAAGAAATGCGCGCGTCAGACAAGGGGGCGACGACAGGGGCAGGGCGTGGATTGAAGCGCCACTGGTCTGGACGCACAAACAAACGCTCAAAAAGAGCACGATCGTAATCCGCAGGCGTAGGCAGGAGAATAGGTCCTACCGACAAGGGCGTGGAGGGCAGGACAGGCCTCACTCGAGCTACCCACAGGGTCAGCAAAACGTCCAGGAAGGATGGGAATCACAAACCTACGACAAACTTCAGGGCGGCGACGTGGGCGTTGAGGCCAACCTGGTAGGCGTCTAGAGCCGCATCAGTAGCGGCGTGGAACATAGCAGCAGCAGCCTTGAGAGCCTCGGTTTTGGCCTGATCCAGCTCAGCAAGGGTCTCAGCGTGGTGAAGAAGGGCTTGGCGTGGGTCGTTGAGGTTGCGGACGACGGGGCCCCCAGCCTCAGGGAGAGGCGCAACAGGTTCCTCGTGGAAGGACGTAGCAGCTCTCTTACCCTTATTCTTGACCTTCAGGGTGCGAGGCTCCTTGCCCTTATCAGCGGTAGTGAACTCGCGTTGGGCAAAGAGGAGGGAGGCCAGAGCCTCACGGGTGGCGACCGAATTATGTTCCAGCCCAGCGTCCTCGTCGTCAGCGCAACAGTTCAAATAGGCGTCGGACTTGAGCTTCAGGGCAGTGAGGGCATCCTTCTGATCAGGACCGACCTGCCTGGTTGTCAGCATATCCCACTAAGAAGGAAAAGGAGGCCTACCGGAACGCAGTGGTGGTTTCCTTGGAGACAGTCGCCGCACTTGTCCAAGCCAACAGGGACCCAGCAGATCTGTCCAGGATAGTTGTAATAGGTGACTGAACACTTGACGCAGCAGTCGCGGGAGCCTGCGCGAAGGGGACCAACAGACTCTGGAACTGGGCGGCGCGCAGAAAGCTTCCACCCCAGCGCCGTACGCATCTCCTTGGCGGCCAACTGAGCAGCGACCTCCTCCTCCTCCTCTGGAGCGTCCTCAACCGAAGGTGATCGGTAGGGACGCACGGTGCGAGGGCGAGAGGTGGACGCAACGGAAGCAGGACCGAAGGGAGTAGGGGTGGCAGGTGACTCCAACTCGGGAGACCCAGACATCTGGGCGGAAGAGCGCTTGAGAGGGGTGGTGACAGGCGCCACTGTCTTCTTGGGCTGCTTGCGCGGAGCCATGATTGACGGAACTAATCCACAGATCAGTCCCTGAAGACGAAGGACGGAAGGGAGGTAAATACCTTGCGAAGAGGGAGTAATCCTTGAAGCAAACCTTGGAAGAGGATCAAAAGGAAGAACCCAAGAACCCAGAAGAGCGGGCACTTGGTGTGAGGTTGTGTGAGGAAAGTAGGAAGTTGGGTAGGAAGTGGGAGTTAAGCGCGATGCCCACAACAACTGGGGGTGGCCGCGGCACAACAACAAGGGGGGTCACGGGACCCCCCTGACAGGCGCGAGTTCGATAACAACAACCCACCCTACGCGCGAGCAAACAAGCCAAACAAGCCCAAACAAGGGCGCAATCAGCCCTGATCTCTATGCCTGGAATTGGGGGCAATTCCCTAGAAGGGGGAGGTAATTGTAAGGCGGCCCTCACGTGAGGGCACGTGAGGTGTCACGCTCTTACAGTGGACCTGGCGGGCTCGGTAAATTAGGGCCTACGGGTTCCTGTATATAAGGGGCTGGAGGCTCGGAGTGAGGCCTCCAGTCAATAGTCGCTGTATATACGTAGACCTATTGTTACGCATTGAATCCTACTTCCTACCTACTGATCTGGTTCCCTGAGCTCCCGTGTGACCCTGGGTCCTACGACTTTACACACAGGAGGCAATATCGACCCTACGAGGCGGATGATTTTGGCTATGCACCATGCCTCAGTGTTGTTATCTATGATCTTGTCGCAGGCGCCGAAGACGAGCCTTTGTGCAAGCCAGTAGTTGTTAGATTCCATATCTATTAGTAGGGTTTGGTTGGTAGGGAGATTACCGTAGCGCCGAGGGACCAGACGTCGGAGCTGTGAAAGCACCCAAGGCCACGCCAGACTTCGGGGGCACGGGTCGGTAGGCTTTGGATCCGTGTATCATCGTAGCCTTCTCTGAGCACTATATTTCTTTTAGTCTCGTTTGGTAGGTAGATAAATGCTATCTTACTGCTCCCTAAATCGCCCACCTTAACAACAGGGCATGCGCTGTCGACATTTGATAAGAGAATATTATTCGGATTAATATCTTTAAAATCAGTAAGAATCTTTGCCTGTGTGGGTAAGGTTTGGGGAAATACCTGAATGGAAAGCACCGTACGTTTCTTTTAGAAAGGCAAGTGTTTCTAGGACTGACCTTGCGATCACACGTGGGAGCTCAGGCTTTGAACGAAACCTAGAGTATGGCACTTTGCGAAGATCCTGATCCATCCACTCGAAGACCATGCATTGCGGCTCTAATGGTTTTTGGGGGTCAAAGCTAATAACATCGCGGAGCGCTCTTATTGTTTTACATGAAGCCATGTGCGGGAGTTCGTAATTGTTTCGCTCACGGTTGAAGACATACTTCATAGACTCATCTGTCTCTGTCTTGATCACAGCACTAGAAATAAGTCAACGAGCTATCCAACAAGGGCTCTCATGATAGACAAACAGTTGTTGGGCGCCTAGAGGTATTTCTTCGGAAGTACTTCTAAGAATTGCGGCTTTAAACACCGTATTCGTTTTCAGGGCCTCGATAATTTCGTGTAGACCATTCCTCCCTTTCAGAATCTGGCCAACGGTGACTGGCAGCTTTGACATGGCAAGATGGGCGGGCAGCTACAAAACCGACGATATACGAGAAAGCACAAGAATCGCGCTACCAAAATAGTGGATTCCTGGATTCGCGGCCCCTCAACTTAGTGAGGGTTTGCTCCATGCGACGGGTAGAGTAGCTCTACCCTTGTATCTGCCTTAATTTATGGGTAAAAGAATCATATACCATGTAAACTAACTTACGGATTAGTAAAAAAGAATCGCTTACCCCTGTGATACTATTTTTTAATTTTTCTACTGTGCTAAACCGTAATAGGAAGCCCCCCCTATTCAGCCCACTTTCCCCGATCCCCCTTCCTCCACCAATTCGACTAACACCATACTGGCTCTGAAGGCTCGAAAGCCATCTTATCGCCTTGCTGTGCGGAGTTTGACGATTTAGATGCTCTCGTCCGGGCCCTTGATGACTGGGCTGTCAAAACGAAGTTCTCTTTTCGGACGGCTGAAAGGGACTCGACAAGAGGGCACTGTATATGTGCCGAGTTACATATGGACAGGCAGAGTTTCAACGATTCTATTTCCCAGCAAACCAGAATTATCTAGAGTTGCACCATCCATCCATCCTCCCCACCTACTCCGCCTTCCCCTCCTCCGGCCATGTCAACACATACCCAAAAACCGTCTTCCTAACATCCTCATCCCCCCTATCCTCCTCAAACATCACCCTCTCCATCTTCTCCTCCGACACCTTCTCCACCCTCAGCCCCGCCCCCCTCGCCCCCTCAAAAAACGCCATATCCGCCTCAAACAACCACGGTCTATACGGTGTAAAAAACACCAGCGCCTTCCCGTCTCGCTTCAACATCTCCACAACGCTCGCTATCAACTTAGCGTGCTCGCTGTGGTTGAACAGTAAATCCGCTAGGATCAAGATATCGAACTTCTCCCCTTCCTCCACCGGTAGATGCGCGACTAACGGGCTAGAATCAGCACCCCAAAGGTACCCCTCTGCCACAACCTCCCCCGCGCCATCGCAATGCTCGATATTCCACCGTAAATTCTCAATAAGGCTATTATCAGGATAATCCGTCACCACCACCCTTTTCGCCCCAAGCCGCCCGGCAACAAGACTAGGCAACCCCGCCCCGGCACCGAGCTCGAGAACAGTTTTCCCTGCTACGAGAGAGGGTGTGGTTTCGAGGTAGGTGGACACTACGCGCGCGCCGTTCCAGAGGTGGTGGCCCCAGAGTGGGTTGTGACCGACGAGGCGGAGGGTGAGGTCACCGGCGGGGGTAGGGTAGCTGAGGGTGGTGGGAGGGGGAGAGGGGGGTAGAAGTCGGGGGGGTCGGCGAAGAGATCGTGGGTGTCGTCGCCTGAGTCGGAGGAGGGCATGATGGTGGCGGAGGGGGGGTCTCGGAGGTGTTAGATGGGTATCTTTGGGGGAGATAGGAGATGCGGGTGCTGTCTGGGGGAAGGTTTGCAGCCTGCTATGTCTGCGCAGGACTGTAATATGCCACTGATCTCTCATGGCGGGGTATGCCCCTGGCGAGGAGGGGGAAACACGTGACTTTGGAGGGGTAGAAAATATTTTGCACGTACGTCGGCGGGACGGGTTTGCGGTATACTCGTGTCAGTTCTGAGGGGGAATATGAGCCCCTCCTTCTCGAATTCGATATTTGCCTGTATATATTCCGTATAGGCGTATATATGGCAGTCCTTTTTCCGATCCTGGCACTGTTTTTTTGCAAGAGGTAAGCAAGAATCTGTCGATGTGATGTGATGTCACGTGCAGCTTCGGTAATTGACAAGGCCAAAGGTTGTTTGTTGGAAGGAGGGGTATCGGTCCCTTGTACCTGTACATACATAACTGTACGTATAGGTACTTCCGACCACCACCCACAGCCACTGGAGTATTGGACCATCTACACAGCTGCACCTCGGGCACTGTGCGATCCTTCCTCAAACTCGGCTTTCTCTCTCCTCCTTGCATTTTATCCATATTAACAGGCTCCTCCCCCTATAGTATCCAGCTTTCGTTGGTAAATACTGCGATTTTATATCTTCATATTCCAATCAACGTACCCACCAGCTCGGTTATATCTACGAGGTACATCCAGTCTCCCTCCTCGTCCCTTCTTGCCACCCACTCGGCCCTTGTTCCTTAACCTAAATTCCTCCACCCAACCAATCAAAAAAAACCTGCTCAAAGTTTCAAAGCCTAAACGTCACGGCTGCGCTATCAAAGGGAGTGACGACTAAGTTACTGAACGCCATGAGAGACCGGGAGGAACAGAAGGAGGAAGAGCGGAGTCAGACAGACCTGAAGACCTGACGACTATACGACCACAAGAGAGACAGACAGAGGCGCTGACGACCGTCGATTATCCCACGTTATTGACAGCGCGCAATTGGAAGACGACGAGAGAGGAATCCCATACGCCGGCCAGGCGCAGACATCCCTACGTTCGGCGGGGAATACAAACAAGGGCTAGCCACAGGAAGGCCCTCAAGGTTACATACCTTCGCATACTCGGGAAAGGAGCTGCATTCACCTGAAATCTTTGTCACCGCATGAAACCGGGGGCTGCGAATCTGATATAGCTCCTCTGACTTTGAATATACGCCCTAGGGATCCCGCGGGAGTCTACTACGATATTCATCTTCCCCACCACCCCACTCACTAAGTATCACGACACCTTCTCCAAACCCGGGTGCAGACGCCTCTTTGACGTCTCCTTTCCTTTGCAACCTCGAACCCCCACCTACCCACGTCCTCGGCGAGGGTTCTCAAACACCACAAGCCTTGGTGCCTGGAACGTATGGCAGCTCAGGTAGGTCAGCATTCTTCAGGCCGACCCTGCCGCTTACCCCATCCCTTCACTCATAACTAATTGGTGAAAAAGACATAATCCGCTCAATCTCCCGCACGCTCGTTACTTGACCCTAACGATAGCGACTCTAGCAACGGACCTCCAATCAAGCGCGATCAATAGGCCTCAATCCTCACCGATAGCTACTTCCGAAGAACGATCAGACTACTACATCTAAATCCCTGGCACTGAAAAGCTAAACCTAAGTCGCAATCAACCCTCAACGAAAGGCGGTGCGGCTGCCGCCGCGCTGTTCCGCAACAGGCCTGGAGACGAGAGATAGACGCTGCTCCGCAGAGTGGTACCGCGCATACGAAGCGCCAACACCTGACGGGTTTTCGCGGCCGCATAGGGCCATTTTGCATATAATACCCTCAAAATGCCGATCATAAACGGCATGAAGATGGCCTGGTATGATATATACCTGATCCCCGGCGCACACGGAAGCTGACGTCCATTTAGTGAGCCATGCATTCGAGGCCATCGCTCTACGAAATGTGCGCACGCGAGCGAACGCCTGATGGTGCCGGTCAAGAAGCCTGGCCGACCACTGACAGCATGTCCGCATTTACAACCATCGAGCTGCGGATGCTCGAGCGTCACCGCCGCCATTCCTCGGAAATCGCAGTGCGGATGTGGACCGGCGAGCAAGACGGCCAACACGGTCAAGACGGAACCGCAACCTGTCGATTCGCCGATAACTGAATCGCCATCACCGGTTGCGCGCGACTTCAAGATCAAGAAGACGTCGAAAACGAAGAATCGGAAACAGTCCTATGATGCCGCCGTGCTCAACAGGGTGGAGCCGAACAGTGTCAATGTCGTCCCGTTCACACCGAGACCTCAACAACTTATTGCACCGGCACTTCCAAACGAAGCGAAACCAGCGGTGTCGCTCGCGCCTTACACCAACGTAAACCAGAACCATACATACCAACAGACGCAACCTCCTCTACCTTACAGCACAGACTCGCCATATGTACCAGTTAACGGGAACGGAGTCTACCCAGGTTCGAACGGCAACGGCGTGAACCACCCATTCGTACCCCTCGACCAACTGCCAGGCACTATTCTCAGCTCCCGTTCAAATTCGACCGGCTCGTCCTACGGCACCCCAGCAAACGGCGTCAAACTCGACTACGACACGCACGAATCCGAAATACCCCAGAGCAGCTGTTGCTTGAAACCCGCCACCTCCGCCCCCCTCGACGGCATGATCTTCGCCAACGGCAACCCCCTCCCCACAATGCCAAACTACACCTGCGTCCCCACCTACCCCCTCTCCTCCCCTCTCTACCCCTACCCCCAACCAACCCTCTTCGCCTACCCCCCCTCCTACGGCTCGCACAACAACCCCCTCCAACCCGCCTCCTGGCGCCAAAACATCTACGCCGCGGACCCCGACATCCCGTTATACCCCCTCCAGCCCGACCTCAACATGGCCTTCCACAGCTGCGGCTGCGGCCCAACATGCCAATGCGTCGGATGCGCTGCACACCCTTACAACGATGCGACGCAGGAGTACGTGCGCTCCGCCTACGCCGAGCCTGTTTCCCCCGACGCATACGGCGTCGTCTACCCGCTAGTCTTCCCCGCTGGTGATAGCGCGGCGGTGCTGGAGCACGGCGTGGGCGCGAAGGAGAGCCCGAGTGAGGGCGGCTCGATGGCGGAGGAGCAGGCGCTGTCGCCGAGTGATTTCTTCTTTGTGAGTTATCCTCTTAGTGGGGAGGGGTGTGGGGGGGACACGACGAGTTGTCCGTGTGGAGATGGGTGTCAGTGTCTCGGTTGTACGATTCATGGGTTTGATGAGGTTGGGGGGGGGTGGGGATGCTGCAGGGGGGAGAGGTGGTACCTGTACCTGTACCTGTGCCGGTGGTGGAGAAGGAGACGCTAGAGGTGCCTGCTGCGCAGGCTAGCAAGGGGGAGAAGAAGAGTTGTTGTTGTGGGTAAATTGTCCAAGATGGGATACGACTACGAGAAAGAGAGGAGAAGGAATATACCCTCTATATGAGTAAAACGGCGAATTTGCCAAGGCACGCACGCGCAAGGGGTTGGGGAGCACATTGTACATAGACATACTATCTCTGGCACGGCTCAGTGTCTTGGCCCGTTCTCGCGGCTTGTTTTTTTGGGGGGAGGGGAAGGGTGTCTTGATAGAAGATACCGCCGAGGGGGGAAATTCAAAAAGAATCTTCACTTTTGAGTTACTACTTCCCTACTACTGATTTTATCAAAATGAAGGCGCGGATGTGATACAATGTGATACTCGTACTGTGCTCCTATCGAATCCTAGTTATCTGCTACCAGTGCCCCACCATTTGCGAACTGTACAGCAGGGTAACACGACATCTAAGCTTACCGTTTCGTAGATGTCGTGTTACCCTTCTATAAACCCCCCCCCCCCAAAAAAAAAAGACACGCATATTCATACTGGGAGCGTTCGCAGTTCTGGTGCGCGTGGGGAGGGAGGCGAACTCGACCTGGCGCTGTGAGATGCGGTGGGATTAGAGTGGCTGTGCGCACGCGCGCTATTCACTTCTGGACTCCTTGGCGTGAGATGAGAATTGTCGTGAATTGGCGGAGGATAAAGGGTTTATAGGTGCATAACTTGGCAATTCTTGATGACACCGCGCTTGCGCCCTGATGCGCGGTGGGTGGTGGTGGTGTTTTTCTCCGTACTTGGTGAGGTCGGTGTGTCTCTCTCCCGCTGTCTTATGCACCCTTCACATTTATCGGATTCTTTGTAGGCAGCGAGAATATGAGTGAGCTGGGGGGGGGTTAATAGCTGCCTCTCTCTCTTCCTCTGATTTTTTTGAAGTTATCATGTCAATCACCTACTCGGGGTTTAATTTCTTTGATTTAAACTGTATTTTAAATCGATTCAGCCATCCATTTGACCATTTAGGTTGTTCGATATCAGCGTATTACAGTAGATTCTCCTAGAGTTTTGCTGCGCCTTGAGAATATCTCTAGTAATAATAGCTGCTGTATTTTCCATTCGTTTTTGCCATTTGAACAATGCTGCCTCGAGGTCTAGCCATTCTCCAACACAAGATCTCTTCGAACCTAGTTGCTTTTTGTCTTTCTTTATATCTAAGTGGTCAAGATGATTGTACTTCGAGGAAAGTACTTTTGATACCATCGACTGATTGATACGGTGGCTGGTTTCTTCATAAAACCATACGACAAGTTCATTTTGTTGCGCTGATGGATACTCTCGATTACGCTTTCGTATCATTAGACGGTCAGCATCACTCAAAGCTTTTCGCTTCTTTGAGCTCGAGGCTTCCATGTTGTAAGAATTTGGCAGGGTGAAATTACGTGAGAATCAGAAATCCGGACCGTGATATATAAGAATATTCTTGTAGCGAGAATATTCCTACGCGCCTACCAAAATACTTTGGGGATCACGGTATATTCTTACACGGTGGGGTATTCTTCTATCGGGGATTCTTATATCTGGGTTCTACTGTATTGGTCTGAGCGATTGGAGAGGGAGTCGGAGGTGTGTTTTTCGGTCACGAGGGGGGAGGCAAGGGAGAGAGGGTGGGGAGGAGGAGGATCATGAGTGTTGCGTATGAGAACTTCATTTTAGTAAATACGTCCTGGAGGTATCAAATAAATTTGTACGTCACGGTGAAGGAGGATCCGTAGCAATCAACAATTTAGATAATATCAAACAGATGGACGAGCTTTGTATTCTTGCTTTGACATACAACCCTTCTGATATTCTAAACATGGACAAAACAGGCTTATATTAGAAGCTATCTCCAAAATATAACAGACATAGCGCTCTTTGGGACCCGAGATCGATTCCCATTACTCGGGTATTCTAACATCAAAAGTTCTCATATAGTGATTCTACCATAACGCCCCCACTCCCATGCTCTAAACCATATCTCAAGCCGCAAAGTCTCCCAAACCCAGACCTATCCCAGCAAATTACCCACAGCAGCTACCGAAAACCTCAGAACCCAAACCCAAACTCAACAATCTTATCCCCCCTACTAACCCACAACCCCACTCCCCTCTCCCTCTCCACAAACCTAACCTGCCTCATATACTCCCCCTCCGGCTGCCCATCCGCCACATACCCAACCTCAGTCCCACTCTGCACATCAAAGACCCTCACCCCCCCTCCCCCCTCCACCTGCGCCGCAGCAACCAGCCCCGTACAGCGATCAACCGCCAGATCAACATCATGTCTCGTCTCATTCCTATGTCCCCACATCCTCACTACCGGCCGCGTCGCCTCATTCTTCCATTTCTCCTTCAAGAAACGAAGGTCATACACGCACATCTTATCCTGCAGCCCCCCCACAACCAGCGAATTCTCCCCCACCTGCGCCACCCTCGCAACACTCGAGGCATGTCTGATCCCCCCCCTGCCACCGCCCTCCACACGCAGATCGACGAGAGGGACCTTCCCAGACCGCTTTCCAGCGAGGAGAACATGCGGTGATTCCGCGAGGAATGTGAGCGCGAGGGTGGAGGATTCGCCGCTGCTGGGGGGTGAAGGCGCCTCGTCCAGCGACGCGTCGAGCAGGAAGATGGGGCGATCGTCGCAGGCCACGGCGAACATGTATGGTGATCCGAGAGGAGCGGCGCATGCGCAGCGGACCGTTGTGTCCTCACCTGCTTTGCTGGATGTTAAGTGGTGGGTGCTGATGACTAAGAAGGGGTTAGCAGGGATTTTGACCATCAAGCAGCTGCGGTGGTCGAGGTTGGGAGGAGGATACTCGTGCGGCCCAAGAGTCTGGAGGAGGATCGAGCGCTTATGTTTTGATCATAGTTGCTGTAACAGTAGCTGTTGTGCATAGTCTTCATCCTGACTTTTGGGCCCCGCGAATAGGGGAAGGGGTTGTACGCACTTCTGGTGACTGGGGAGACACGGTTCAGGGACATATTATGACCGCGCGGTGGATCCACCCACGTTGCGAGGACAATTTCCTTACAAGCCGAGAAGGTAATTGAGTTGACGGCCGCATCGCTGCCGTAACTTAGATTATTTAAGCTAGGGGATATATGCTCTCCCGGCCTGGGCAAACGGTCAAACTCCACCTCGACATCATGCGCTGCCTAGCAATCAGGGAACTTCTTCACGGAAAGTGGCAGGGGAAACTCACAGTAAGCCAAGTGTCCGGATCGTACATCAACGTCGAACACCCTCCATCTCGGCGTCCCACTCAACCTTCCTACAGGAATACTCTTGGTCCAGCCCCCTATAAACTCTTTCAGCGCGTTCAGCCTCCCATCCCCCCTCCCAATCTCCCTGTCCAACTTCCCCATAGCCGCAGGCCGCGTCACGCGCTCTCTGTTAGCCTTCTCAACTCTCGCAGCTTCTGTGGCGATAGCTTCATCGGCCTTGCGCTTCCGCACCGCGGTCTTGGAGTACAGTGCCGATGGGTCGGCGACGACCTTGAAGTACTTATTCTTCTCGGCATCTAGGTAAGTTAGCAGGAGTAAATTTGAGGTTTGTAGAACTCGTGCTGCCTTAAAGTCGGGAGAGGGACTGTCCGCAGCAGCTGGTGTTTACAGCAACTATGATTAAAATATCGACGCCCAATCACTCGTCCATAATCGACAAGCCTGATACTCAAACATGGAACCAAGGAAATTAATTCTTGGGGCCTATATTTCAACCATAGTCGCTGTAAACACTGCTGTAATCCATAGTCCCTCTTCACAACTTTGGCAGGCAGAAGCGCCCCATCGACCGATCTCCTTGAACGATGTCTTGCGCTTGTCAGGGCTTGAGATGCAGACTCACCAAAATAATACCCTGGAATATCCCTCCCCGCCATCTTCGCTACATATTCGTCGTCCTTCCAAGCACTGCGTCCAGTTCCTGTGCCGTCCTGACGGGTGAATGATATGTGGTAGTGGTATGGTGAGTGAAAATGTGACGTTTGTACATGGACCCAGCGAACAACTAACTTAAGTTATTTTAACATTATTCATTTGATCCTTATCGTTATCGGCCCTCAAGGTGTCCAAACCCTCAACCCATCCATCACAACCAAGCTAATCATTCACAGCAACCACTGACACTTTGGCTCTTGTTAGTATTTATGTAGAGAGGGGTTAGTGTATTAAATGTTTATTATTGTTGAAGTTTATCATCCAGGATAGTGGCATGATTATTTCAGGAGAGTCTGACTACGGCGCGCTTGTGGAGAATACAAGAATACAACATTTCACGTGGTAAAGATACGTCTGGCACAAGTTTCTGCGAAAATGATACTTATTACTACACTTCTGATTCTGAATGAATCTTCCCCTCTAACTAGCCATCGAATCCCTGGCAGTTGACTTGATGCTATTAAGCCTCTCATTGGCCCTGTAGTTCGCTTCCATAGTATAAAAATCGACGAAAGGCCGAAGCGAACCAAAGCAAAAACGCTGTAAATAGTACATTTCACATGCGCAGCACTTCCGCAACCTCCTCCCCTATAAACACGCCATAAAACGCCGAGCCGTGCAGTCAATATACGAGCCATGTTCTCTCCGATGATATACCCTGCGCCGTGCACCTATGATGAATACCCAGTCGACCTAACTAACCGCTCAGCCTCTGCCTGGTGGCGGTGGCTGCTGTGGCTGGCTGCCCGGGAATACGAATCCAGGAGGGAACATCGGAATCCCGTTGACCAGCTGCGGCATCCCCTGGGGCATCCCATACGGATAGCTTGGGATACCCGAGATGTTGGGGAGGTTGAATGGGGCTGAACCACCGTGGCCGCGATCCTTGCGATCATCGTCACGACGACGGTCACGGCGGTGTTCGTCTTCGTCGAAGTCGCGACCGGACTTGGGACCCGACTGTCCGCCCTTGTCGGTCTGCATGCGGCGGCTGATAGCCTTGGACGAGACGCCCTGGCCGATCTCGATATCGGGCTCCTCGACAACCATCCCGCTCTCGATGGGCTTTCCTCCGCTGCCACCGTACTCGGCGCTAAGCATCCACTTCCTGTCCGCGTCGGTGAGCTTGCTAATCGGGATGATGCTGACGCCCGTCTGGTAATCGCTGCAATCACGTGGCCCGAAGCCGACGCCCCATCTGGTCTTGAAAGGTGTTAGTAATGGTAAACTTGGGTCTGGGGGTGTGAATTTACCGAACGTACCCTCAGGGATGAGTCGGGGTTCCTGCTGCCTTCCATGGCTTCCTTGGCGGTGATGGCGTCTTGACGGCTGACCATCTTCACAAACGCGTGGCGCTTGTCTTTGTTGACGATACAGGTTTGCACGCGACCGAATTGGTCGAAAATGCGCCTCAGTTCCTGGTCAGAACATCTGGGATGTGTTAGAGCCTTGCGGTATATAATTTGAACAATGGGAATCCTTACGTTACGCCACCAACAAATAGGGTGCGGCTGAGAACTGAAAACGGTTAGTTTGTGAACTCTCATGCATACAGCAAAAAAAAAACATACCTTTGATGCTTCCTTTCGGAATTGAATGGTCAAACTCGACCCATTTGGTGCCTCCGGAACGGCCATCATAGAAGCCTCGTGGTGGAGATGGGCTACGACCCCGGCGAGCTGGGCTGCGCTGGCGGTACTCGTTGTGCCGATCTCGGCCATACGCTGGAGAATTTCTACCATAGTCACCAAGGTTGTCATCACGACGACGCGAGTTTGGAGAATCACGAGGAGCATTCCATCCACGCGCAGGAGACTGCGAACGAGAGCGTCTGCGGTAACGTCCTTGTGGAGATCTGACAGCCTCGTTGGGACCACCATGATCACGTGATTCATTGGGGTTCCAGGTATTTGGAGGTGCTACGCCATAAGATGCTGTAGGTGCACCGCCAACATTTACGCCGCTTCCAACTGGGGCTGCAGCTTGAGTCTGAGTAAGAGCAGCAATTATTCCCCCCCATTGATCCTGTGGAACTCCCGCATCGGACAATGTCTTTATGAGCATAATCTGGCGCTGCAGGTCTGGGTTAAGGCCAGCCGCAGCAGGCGCAGGAGCGCCCGCTCCAAGTGGTAGATTTGGGTTACTTGGGTAGTTCGGAGCTCCATTGTTTTGCCCCTGGGGTATCGATCCATAATTAGCCGCTGCAGGTGCTGGCACATTTACAGATTGCGTACTAGGTGGAAACGGATACGTAGGATTCAGAGCTGACACATGGCTTGCACCATTACTCTGTGCCTGTGGCATACTGTAGGCATTATCTTGGACGGGAGCAGGAGCTGGAATGGCCTGGGGTGCTGCAGCTGCGGTAGTATTCTGTCGGGCCATGTTGGCCAGGGCTTCCAAAATGGACGAGGTATTTGGCGCGTTTGTCGCTGGTGGTGGGGCTCCAGGGAAGGACCTCCCTACATCTGCTGGTGGTGATCCTTCGGGGGTTGTGGACTCTACAAGAATTCCAGGTGTGGTTAGAAATTGCAAAAGAAAAGTGGAAGATATCATAACCCCATCGGCCAACTTACTGTTCAGTTTCTCCTTGAATGAATTGAGCATGTCTGCGGGGAATGTCTCTCCCTTTACCCAGATCTCAACGAGCTTCTTGATCTTGTCCTACAATGAGAATGAAAAGGTAAGTGGGTGTACTCATATGTTCAAACAGTTTTTGCTCTGGTGCATCTTCAAATACGCCTCGTGTCTGGCCCGAGATCCATAGAACACGGCAATACAGTACAGTTCTGATATCAAGTTTATATGCGTACCTTTTGATCATCGGGTGCCGATGCAATTATGTCGTTCATCAATACTGGTAATAGTTCCGTTACTCTATGGACCCCTGCAGCATATGTGCCATCTTGGGCAGAAACAGTTATGGGTTGGCCGTTGGCTTTGGCCTGTTCAATCCACTTTCGAGTTACAGAATCTAGAACGTATAGAACGCCGAGCTTGTGGGTTGAGGGAGCTTTCCTCAAGTGAGTGTACAGTTTCTGGACGAGGACAGACTCTGACTGTGAGAAGGGGTTAGCATCCACTGCAAACGAGGGTTGGGAGTTACGGCGGTGATGTCGTACCTGGACATTTGCCAAACAGAGGGCTGTGAGGGTGGCTATGCGCGATCCAGATACTCCAGGAGGTTTCAAAGACAACATGGCCTGCAGAGCAGCTTCAAGTTCTGCTACTGCGGATGACATGGCGGATAAAGTGTTGATGGATGTGATGAGAGAAAGAGTATAGAGTTGAGTTTTTAAGCCCTGAAAAGGGTGTTGTGACAAAAGACCAAGATGGTTCTTCGCAGGACTACGATCTATGTCGATCTATGTCGTGTATTCACTTTGTGTTCTTGTTTTTATCCCGATCAGATGTTACGGTGAGTTTGAGAGCAGAGTACTATGGCGACTACAGCCTCCGGCCGATGATGAAAGAAGATGGCTGGAGGTGAATCACAGTATTCTCCAACTGCCTGGATCTGCCCCGATAGACTGCAATGTACGAAAAAAGCTGGTTAGTTTGCGATACACCTATCGCGATGGCGGCGACAATAATTTGATGGATTTTTATCGACTAAGGGAGAGTTGTCGACGGGGTTTTGTTGGGGGGAGAAAGATGAGAGAAGATGGGTTCGGCGAGGTTGAAAGAGGAGAAAGAAGAAAATGGACGTTTTGCCACTGGAAACTCCCGATGCATTACCTCTCATACACTCGCTTACGCCGATAAGCTCAGCCGTAGCTGATAAGCCCCTAATTGGGTGTCACGTGAAACATTCGTCATGAAAAAGAGATTTTGTTTGTTGGGCGTGTTAGGGTGGATTCGGGGATTTATGGAATGGGCGGCACGGGTGGTTCGGGGACTTGTGGAATTTATGGAATTTATGGAATTTATTTATGGATTAAGGGAGCACGAGCAAAATTAGGAAGAGACCAAAGGTTCCTGTGGAGCACGAATAAATTAGATGTATGGTGGGTGGTGAGGCCTTTTGATTTTTCCGAAATACAGCACATTGTCCCGTCTATCCCTTGGTGGTTTTGGAGTAAAACTATGAACGTGAGAATGGGGTAATTGGAGTAAAACTACGGAGTATGAACGTGAAAATGGGGTAATTGGAGTAAATTTGGAGTATCCATACAAAAATCACAAATTGCACCGAGCTCCACGGCATAACAAATACCGGAAATGCCTTGGCACACCTGTCTTGTGAAAATCCAGGGATTACGTCAGGAGATGTGGCATAATTCTATCCAATTACATTTCACTCCGGCCCACGCTACGGTAGGACCGAAGGCCAGTCGCTGGTTCTTGAATCCCCTGACAGACGAGATCATCACTTTTCGTCAACTTTCTTCCCGACCCTCCGTCTCCAACAACCCCTTCTTTCTCTCCATCACCACATACACAATTCAAAATGGCATCAGCAGTTCGTTTTGGCTCTTCCGCCCTCAGGTCGTCTCTGGCCGCCCCAGCATTCAATGCTCGCATCGCAGCCTTCAATGGCGCGCGTTGCTACTCCGCCAAGGCCCAGGTAAAACAATTTCCCAACAATAATATGAGAAGCATCCGCTGATAGCAATCGTGATAGACTCTGAAGGAGCGCTTCGCCGAGCAGCTTCCTGAGAAGATCGAGGAGATCAAGAAGCTCCGCAAGTCAGTATTCCCATTGTCCTGTCGCTCATAACAGACCATTGACCCGTTTTCAGGGACCACGGCCACAAGGTCATCGGCGAGGTTACCCTCGACCAGGTGTATGGTGGTGCCCGTGGCATCAAGTCCCTCGTCTGGGAAGGATCCGTTCTCGACTCCGAGGAGGGTATCCGCTTCAGAGGCTTGACCATCCCAGAGTGCCAGGAGGCCCTTCCTAAGGCCCCAGGCGGCAAGGAGCCCCTTCCAGAAGGTCTCTTCTGGCTGCTCCTGACCGGTGAGGTCCCAAGCGAGCAGCAGGTCCGCGACCTGTCTGCCGAGTGGGCTGCCCGCTCCGACGTCCCCAAGTTTGTTGAGGAGCTCATCGACCGCTGCCCAACCTCCCTCCACCCAATGGCTCAGCTCTCGATTGCCGTCAACGCTCTCGAGCACGAGTCTTCGTTCGCCAAGGCATACGCCAAGGGTATCAACAAAAAGGAGTACTGGGGACACACATACGAGGACTCCATGGACCTGATTGCGAAGCTCCCAACCATCGCCGCCAGAATCTACCAGAACGTCTACAAGGATGGAAAGGTTGCCCCAGTCCAGAAGGACAAGGATTACTCCTTCAACTTCGCCAACCAGCTCGGCTTCGGCGACAACAAGGCCTTCGTTGAGTTGATGAGACTCTACCTCACCATCCACACTGACCACGAGGGTGGCAACGTCAGCGCCCACGCCACTCACCTCGTCGGCTCTGCCCTCTCCTCCCCCTTCCTCTCCGTCGCCGCCGGCCTCAACGGTCTCGCTGGCCCACTCCACGGTCTCGCCAACCAGGAGGTCCTCAACTGGCTCACCAAGATGAAGGCTGCCGTCGGCAACGATCTGTCCGACAAGGCCATCACCGACTACCTCTGGACCACCCTCAACGCCGGCCAGGTCGTCCCCGGTTACGGCCACGCCGTTCTCCGCAAGACCGACCCCCGCTACATGGCCCAGCGCGAGTTCGCCCAGAAGCACCTCCCAGACGACCCCATGTTCAAGCTCGTCAGCCAGGTCTACAAGATCGCCCCAGGTGTCCTCACCGAGCACGGCAAGACCAAGAACCCCTTCCCCAACGTCGATGCCCACTCCGGTGTCCTCCTCCAGCACTACGGCCTCACCGAGTCCAGCTACTACACCGTCCTCTTCGGTGTCTCCCGCGCTATTGGTGTCCTCCCTCAACTCATCATCGACCGCGCGGTCGGCGCCCCCATCGAGCGCCCCAAGTCCTTCAGCACGGAGAAGTGGGCCCAGATCGTGGCCAAGCTTTAAATTTGATTTTTGCCTAAGCGGTTTGTGTAGCAAAAATGGAAATGGAGTCTATATCTAGGAATGGGGGGTTGGCTTTGGCTGTATTTATAGAATAATAGATAAGGATTAGACTATGAGTGCCTGTAGCCGTTGTTGAATTGCATGGGTGTCTGTCTTACCTTTGATGTCTACGTTTAGAGGATGTGTGGATCTTGTGTTGTCCGTTTTTTTGCTTTCAATTGTAGTGTAGGCCATGGTTTGTTTGTTAACGCCTGCATTGGTTCTACCACAGTCACCGTTATTGCCAGTTAGCTACAAAACAGCCGTTTACTGAGGTAAGCCTGTTTGTGAGCCACTGTGGTTTCAAATAGACTGCAGTGTACCCGACATACGGCTACCGACAGCTGGTAACTAACTTGGCTGAAAGTTTCCTTCGAGGTCTTACGCAGTAACTAAGCCGCCCAGTGTTTGCTTTGGAGTCTTACAACAATTGCACTGCTGTTGAAGACAAGGCTTATGTGTTGTAAGACTACAGAGCAGTCATTTACCTTGTGTTGTAACGTAACCTAGGCAGGAGGGGCAGGTGGTATAAAAAACCATATAATCCACGAGTTTTAGAAGGACATATGCAGTGTTCGGCGGATACATATCCGGGTAGTATCCGTGAAGCTCACGGGTAGGGTATATACCCGGCGACGATCTGACGGGTAGGGTAGGGTATATATCCGGATACATGAGGCTGAATATTGTATATAAAAATAGAATAGCGTATATAAAAAAGAATGAAGCTTTTGATAATAGTAGTAAACCCCTTTCCGCGAGCCCCCTTTCCGTGAGACCCCCCCCTTTCTGCGAGTCCCTATTCAGGTGCTTCATCGTCAGCATCATCGCCGTCGCTATCAGCCTCCCGTATTTTACCCCAATTCCGTAAGCAAAGTAAATATCTAATAGTTGGCGGTGATAACCTATTCCGCTTCTTTGTAATAATATCACTACCATTACTAAATACTCGTTCCGATGCTGCAGATGTTGCTGGAATAGCTAGATGATCACGAGCAATACGGGCAATAACTGGATATTGGTATTGCTTTGCGCACCAATATTTGAGAATATCAGTATGCTCACCGGGCCGTGGTTCAAGCATCCAGCGCCTCCATTCTGGCTCTTGAAAAGCCAAGCCTTCTGACGCAAATAGATCTTCGTCAGAATTAGGTTCCTGATCTATTGTAGCAGTAGCACCTATTGCTTCTGCAAGAGCTGTTTCGTGAGTAATTCGCTCCGTATCAAGGTGATACTCTCGCTTTTGGTACGTTCTACAAACGTCTTCGAACTGCGCTCTTGCTCGTAATCTTCGTGTATCGTCTATAGCATTTGGATATATCTTCTTAAATACTGTATGATTCATTCGTGGGTCGCAAATTGTAGCAACAGCTGAGTGCTTACATTGCCGATTCGTTGTAAGAGTATAATACTCATTAAGCTTTTGAAGCGCAGCTCCACAAGCTACTCCGATCGTAGAGCTTCTACCAAGCTCTTCTTGTAGTAATGTGACCTTATTTATCATCTTTAAGTAAAGAGGAATTGTAAAGTTGAGCGTTGGATATGAATCGCTTTGTAGCCGTCTTGACGGCTTTAAGAATACTAAGAATAATCGTTCAAGAGCTTCGATAATAGCCCAATCGTTGCTTGTTAACGCAATATCCTTCATACTGATATCAAGCTTCTGCGTAGAGCATACTGCAGTAATTGGTATTCGAAGCTTTATAGCTGTTTCAAGCATATAGTACGTTGAATTCCAGCGTATAGGCATATCAAGTGATAGCTGGCGTGGCTTCTGGCCTGCAGCTTGTATCTGCTTCTGTAAAGCATCCTTCCATGCTCTTCAGTTTCGAAAGACATAAATATGCCTTCGGAGCTTCTCAAGCGTAGCTGATACTTCAGTAGAAGAGCTATCAATACGCTGCGGAATCCGGGCAAGCCCTTGCTGACACCAGTACGCTTCTGTTTCTGTATCCGGGCTAGCTTTCAAGCTCTTTAGAGTAGCTTGAACTGCAAGATTGATAATATGAGCAATACACCGAACGTCCCCTTCCTTTACAGTAAACGTCCATGGCTGTTGAATAGTCGTCTGCTGCTTACTGGCTATTTTCTCATATTCTGAAAGCATCACAGTATTCGCTGAGGCATTATCCCGCGTACAAGTAAATATAGCACCTGTAATTTCGAAGCTATCTGTTACTGCAGCTAACTCTTGAGCGAGATATTCGCCGCTATGAATTGGCTCTTGAAGGTGGATTACATCAAGTAATACGCACCGGTGCTGCCACTTCTCATTAATCCAATGGCCTGTGACAGCAGCGTACTCTGTATAGTTCCGTGCAGTCCATGCATCTGTTGTAATAGATATCCGGCCGCCATAGGTAATATGAGCCTGGAGTTCTAATTGTAGCAATCCTCGGTGATATGAGAATTGCCGCTGTAGCTCTCGGTGTAGTGTTCGCGACGATATCGATAGAGTACTTGGGCTTAAGAACTGTACTAATTGATGGAACGAATAGCTCTCAATAAGTCGTAAGGAGAGGTTATTTGATACAACGAATGAAAGTAATAACTCTCGGTATTTCGCTCTACTATTTGATGCTTGAGCTTGAGCGGGCTGGACTTGCGGGTTCCGCGGCCGTGGCTCAAAAAATGACGATGCACTACTTGATGGGCTTGACGGCGTAATTGTATGACCTTTCATTGTATATGCTACTGTTGGATGCTTCTGCGTATAGTGCTTCCAAAGATTACCGGTTGAAGTCTGACTTAATAGCTGCGGAGTAGGTGAATATCCGCAGCCTGGTTGTAAGCAAGTTACTTTGACTGTAGGTGGGTTACTATCAAGTATCAATCGCGAATATAATAGCTTCGTAAATAGTACCGACGACGTTGGTGGCAGCATTCGTCCTGGAGGCTGAAGCCGGAGCGGTGTAGGATTAATATCCTGTTGAATATGAATAGGGGGCGGCAGCGTTGGCAGACTTGGCTCATTATGAGTATCATAGCTATTATAGCCCTCAGGCTCCATTGGTATATCTGATAACGATGAGTCGCTCATTCTGAGGATAATTATCACTTTATACAGCATCAATATAGATCTCACGACGTTGGAAAAAAGAGGTCTTGGCTGCACTTGGCTATTCTTGGCATGTATCCGGATATATACTCGAGAGTATCTGGATACGCCGGATACTCCTAAAATATCGCCGGGTAGGTATATACTCGAGGATATACCCGGATACCATGGGTATATTGGTATCCGTGCTGAACACTGGACATATGCGAACCGCCTATAAATAAATGATATAAAGGGAAAAGATATATTGGAGCGGAATCGGAGGGCCGCACCTGCTAGCTCCTACCGTTTCTCACAAAACATATCATATCCAACGCATTCTAGAAATCAGGGGCAGATCGACACTAAAGCCCGATCTTGGTCACCACTGCGCCTCATGCACGTAAGCTTACTTACTCCCTAATAATGATAGACGTCGCCGCAATCTAGGGGCGGAACATCATATGCCTCAATGGGGCTCAGTTGGGGTCCAAGGAGAACAATGTTGCCTGATGACTATTTCCAAATCTAATTCATAGTATATCAAGTGTAAGGTGGAACAGCCGTCGATCTCGGGGATATGAGGGGGATATGATGGGAATATGCGTATGGTGAGGGTATATAAAGGGCAATTAAGTCTGCCATTTCGATTCATCATTCAAACGTATCTCAATACATTTACCAATCTAAAGAAACACCTTTAATACTACAAAACCCCACAAACCCCCTCACAGCAACCATGAAGCTCTCGGCCCTCCTTCCCGCCGCCCTGATCGCAGCCGCTCCCACCCTCGCCTGCCTCGAGACCAACGGAAGCATCGACTTGGCCGGCCACGTCGAAAGAATCACCGCCATTGATAACGGCGTCTTGGTCTGCGACAGCGCCTGGGGCCACCGGATTGACCAGGATGGGCACATATCGCTGACGTGCAAGCCTGGGTTCGTGTATGCCGTCACCAAGGATGGGACGATGGGGTGGTACAAGAACCCGACGAATGCGTACTCGTTCAAGCAGGTTGTTGGGGGGGGGCACCAGACGCTTTACTGGAGTGAGAAGAGATATGGGTGCAAGTAGTGCTGAGGCCGGGTTGAGAGGAATCGTGATATGGCTGTCGGTCTGGATAGATGGCAGGTATTTGACTCGTGTGGATTACCTGCTTGTTGTGTTGGCTATAAAAGGCAGAAGAACAGAGCTTGATGGGATGGGGTTATTATAGAAATGGCACTAAAGCGATAAAACGGAATACCAATCTTAAAACTAAGAGTATGCACCATTACTCATACTCATACTTCCCCCCCCTAAAACAAAATATCACTTTTTCAACCACACCGAGCTTATGAATGTCCTACCAAGAATGCTCAAGTCCACGAAGTTAGCACTTATGATGCTCCACTTTCGGGAAAAGAATAACCTTCAGACAAGACGTCCCTGAAGGTGTCATGACAGCCAGAATTGCAACTTCTTAGGAGGTTGGAGGGCTGGCTTCCAAGATTTGTCATCTTGTATTTGCTTATTGACTTGGGGCAATGTAGGTTTCGGATTTTGAGTATTCGTTGGTGTAGTGTGCTGGCAATGACCTTTAGTAAATATGACTTGGTCATTTACCATATCAAGTATAACTCCATGTTGCTTCATCCAAGCCTTCCCAAGAATGACAGAATGTTTCCAAAGAGTGGTGATGAATAGAGGGCATAGACTTTTAACATGGTCTTGGACCTGTAGGCGAGGGTATATAGCATGAGTGATGGGAGGGGCTGCTGTTCCATCAAAGCCTTGAATAGGGCATGGCTTTAAAAGCTCTACTGGTGATATGCCTTCTATCTCACAAATTCGTTCTGCGTCAACAGCATTCACAAAGTTTCCTCCAGTAGCTCCAGTATCGATAAGGGCTTGTGCTTTGATTTTTGATTTTCTATCATACAAGTAACTATGAATGGAGTATCTGGATCTAATCCAAAGCTTGAGGAAGAAGGTTCAATTCTGGCTGTCATGACACCTTCAGGGACGTCTTGTCTGAAGGTTATTCTTTTCCTGAAAGTGGAGCATCATAAGTGCTAACTTTGTGGACTTGAGCATTCTTGGTAGGACATTCATAAGCTCGGTGTCCAGTTTGCTGGCAATGGAAGCAGCGGCCTTCCTGCATTAGCTTCTCAGTTGCAGGGTTCTGATGTGGTGCACGATATAGTCTTGGTGGTCTAAAGCTAGCAGGTGGGTTTGTAGTAGGCTGCTGAGCCTTACTGTGAAAGTCTTGTGGCTTAAAGGCTTGCTGAATAACTCGAGGGACAGTGCGAGCGTCTTGGATTTGAAGTTTCTGGATATTCTGATGAATCAGTAAGCACTTTTGTGCAAAGGCATGAAGAGAGCTTGGATTTATCTCTGCTATTAAAGCAGTCTGCATCTTCGTATTAACCTTATGGTGGAGGTCATCAATGAGGGTCTCTTCTGAGTAATCCAGTTCAACAGTGAGTCTCTGGAACTCTGCCCAAAAGGTAGCAAAGTTATCCTTGTTTTGGAAGAGCTTTCTGTTGTTTTTGAGAAGCTTCTCTCACGCTTCTCTCACTTTCGCTGGCTTTGTTCAGTGGTGAGCTGTGACAGGTCTTTGGTCTTTGTCTGCTTGGAGATTTCTGGAAGAGCCTGGAACAATACAATCATGCATATAACAGTAGCTCTTCTCCTGAAATACGATAGTTAGACCATCCAGAAAACACATTCTTTGCAACTCTTTCTATAAGCACGTTGTGCAGTAAAGTGGCAGTCTGGATCACTGAAGACTCTGTCTAGGACTTCAAACATTTCCTCTACAGTTTGAAACTTGTTCTGAGTAGATCGAAGGCGTGGATTGATGTGAGAGGAGGCTTTGCCACCTAGTCTGCTTTGCACATAACCCATCTGAAGGGCTGGAGTAGGAAAATGGTCAAGGTTCGCCTCGAGCTTCATCTTTATCTTAATGCTCCAATCGTCATAAGCTGGCTCTATTCCGTCTGTGAGAGTAGGAGGGTCCGGGATCATGGTGGATTTCTGGTGTGATTCTCTATTGCGAGTAGTGCTGCTTTGTGACTTCTCATTTTCAAGATATTTCACAACAGCAGCTTGTCCTGCCATTGTCTGCTCATGAGCTTGGATAACCTCTTGTAGCTGGCTGATATTGTCATCATATGTAGCCTTCTCCTCTCGACTCTTCTGGAGGGTAGTATTGTAGAGCTGGGTGACATGATCATAATCCTCCATCATCTGCTTTTGTATTTGAAGCGCAGCCTCTCTCTGGGGTGGGCTCCAGGTGCTCACAACTGAGAGGTCTTTAAGCTCCCAAATGCGAAGGGTAGCTTGGTGTTCTGGATCCTCGAGTAGTGTTTCCCTTCTATTGTAGGTGTGGCTTTCTAAGCAGTCCTCATTGCTTGTAGTAGATTGGGTTTCTTGTCCTTGATCTTGACTCCTGTCACGGATGACATGTCCTTGTGCCTCGCATGCCATTATAGCAGGCTTCACTTCTTGTCCTTGGAATTGTCGAGGTCAGGATCTTCTTCTGACTTTGTCGGTATCAGGAACTAGACACGTATGTGGTGAAGGCCCTATTATGCAGTTGTCGGCCGTACGAGCCACTCAAGAGGAGCGCACTTCTGTCACAGTTATATCCTTGTTGAGGGAGCATCACGGAAAGGTCTAATTCTGCTGATATAATGTTCTGGGTTCTGATGCTTGAGTGTGGTATTGAGTTGACTTGTGGTTTCTGGATTTGATGTTCTTGTGTTCTGGTTCTGGTTCTGGTTCAATGTGTAGCTCTGGTTGGTCTGAGTTTCGATTTCTGGTTCTGGAGATTCTGTTGCTCAAAGGTTTGTGCTGGTTTCTGGTTTGAGGGTTCTGTTGCTCGAAGGTTTGTGCTGGTTTCTAGTTTCTTGCTCAGGATGAGCTAATGAAGAAATGGGATTCAATCTTATGTTACGATGGTCATAAAGGTCATGATGCCAGTCCAGGAAAAGTAATCTAGATTGAATCTAAAGAGAGAAGAAGAAGAAGAAGGAAGAAAGGTGAGGCTATTCCTCATAACATACAGTTGTCTTACCACATAGCATATCTCTACAACCCCCTATGATTTATTACATGACATCACTCCTTAGTTACTGGGCTAATACTACCACATGACATATCTCTATCAACTAGAGGTCTAGGAACATGAACGATAGCTCCAAAAGCTTCTACAACCCTCTATGATTCATTACACGTCATCGCTCCTTAGTTACCCACAAGATTGGTTAAGTTATGACATAATTTGTCTATAGGGGTACTCTGACCTTGGACCTCTTTCACTTCCTATAGGCTAGGAACCTAGGAGATGGTTCTATGGGATTCTCTTACGTTGACTACAGTTACAAAGCCTGGTTAGTCATGGAAAGTCTTGGAAAATGAGAGAACTACACTCCTTTAGCATAAATAGGATTGCCCTTTCCTTAAGAAAGGGCAAGCAGACAATACAGTAAATCGACTATCACATACTTCCACGTCTTTTTCAAGCTTCCAAGCATTGATCTTGTTACTCCTTGTTTCTGAAAAGTCAGTGAGGTGCTAACCTCTGACTTATCCCTGAGTTCTCAGACTCAACATTTGTTACAACTTGTCTAAACCACTCCACTACATCATACACCTGATTGCTGCGTTGTGGAATAGTCTAAGCTACGACCCTTTGGCTCTTTTTCCTAAGACAGTGTGTTGTCTTAGTAAAATCATCCCTTCCCCTGGGTGGCTAGATTCTCACATCTGGTGCACCCACCATTACACTCATCCAAAATCTCCCGTAGTATACCCTCCTCATCTGTTGTAACTTCTGTATTATTGATTTGCTAGTCATGACAACAAAGAAGCTTACTCGAAGGAAGCTCGATGGGCTGAGTTTCTGTCAAGGTTTAACTTTCAAAAATATATCGACCTGGGAAACAGAACAGAAAAGCAGATGCATTAACTCGAAGACCAGGAGATAGACCAGGAGATAGACCAGAAGGAACGAAGAAGATGACTGCCAAAAACAACAACTTCAAACCCTGCTACCAAAAGCAACAGCTTCAGGTGTTGCTACTGTTACGATTACAGCTCACAGCTTATCACAGCTTGTTACAGTTGTTATGGTTGTTATGGTTGTTATGGTTGTTATAGTTGTTATGGTTGTTATGGTTGTTATGGTTGTTATGGTTGTTATGGTTGTTATGGTTGTTATGGTTGTTATGGTTGTTATGGTTGTTATGGTTGTTATGGTTGTTATGGTTGTTATGGTTGTTATGGTTGTTATGGTTGTTATGGTTATTACGGTTATTACGGTTGTTATGGGGATTACGGGTGTAGCCTTAGCCACCAAGGTTACAACCGCTAAGCAAATATTGGCCCAGTAACTAAGGAGCGATGACGTGTAATGAATCATAGAGGGTTATAGCAATCATTGAGTAGTATTGCACTTGTTGTTGGTGTGATAAGCCAAAATATGTATAGTGACTTGTAGGTTTGAGGAGGAGATTTCTAAGTTTGCTCTTGAGTTTGATAGCAAACTGAGTGCAACGAATGTCAGTATGACAATGAGCATCTTAGTGATCCTACTCAAAATGATGAGCAAGAAGAGGAGCCTAAGACTAAAGAGGCTGTTTATTCAGCCTCTAATGCTCGCAATGCCCTTAAAGTTCTGGTTGAGTATATGGAGTGTTAGGATGCTCTCTAAGCCTATCACCTCAGGGCATTAGAGTGTTTAGAGGGTGAAATTGAGGCAATCCAGCTTAATTCCTTGGTTTAGGAGACATTAGATAGGTGGATTACATAATACGTGGCATTTCAATCTAACGATATTTTCACTTTTACGATATTTACACGTGTTACCAATTGTATCGACTTAACTGAAGTTGACTGTATTCACTTTTGCTAGTTCAACAGCCTCTAATGGGTCGGGTCACGTGGTACGTGTCCCCGTGACCTCTCCGTAACTCATTTGGTAGCCTTTTCTCTCAGCGTTATCCATCCCATCTACACGGAACATCATTGAACCGACATCTCTTTATACCCTCCACCGCAACCGCGATCGTCAAGGCCGCGCCCCATTCACAGCCTCACAAACAAAGCACTACATTCCAAAGGCAATGAGCCTGCTGCCTTGCCGCTCCTCTTTGCAAAGAAACACTCATACCACTTTTCACTCCCACCCCACCTTCATGCCATGACCCGCCACAAGAATCGCCTTCTAGCAGCAGATCGTCACGGCGCGATCTAGTTGTCGAGCAGAAGGTACGAGGAGGAAGTTCACGCGACACCCCACTTCCCCTCCCCTCTTCCCAGGCTCATTTTACCCCGTCCCCCCTACTGAATTCAAGGAGAATCCAGGGAGACAAAGTGGACAAGCGCCAACTTCTCCTCTCCCTCCCACAGATCAAACATGGCGCATGCGCACATCCCCTTCGTCGACCTCACCCTCGACAGCGACGATGGATTGCCCGCCGCCACTTCAACACAGATAAGGGCGCCTAATGCTGCCGGTCCGGAGTTCACAGGGACGACTACACTGCCATATCACTTGCCGTCACCACATAAACCTCAGAACGACTTTGTGATCCAGTCACATAGTGGCATATTGCTGCCGGGGGCGTTGCCGTCGCCAATCGATATTCCGGGCGCGCTACCGCCGCCGAAGTTACATACACCTGTGATTGCGGGGAGGAAAACACATTTGAGAGGGCTGAGATTGTCGCCGAATGCGTCGAGGTCCGCTGAGAGCTCGGCGAAGAGAAGGAAAGTCGCTGCGGGGGGGCGGAATGGCACTGGCACGTCATCGAGTCCTACTGCGGACAGGGCGGAAACACGCATACTGCCGCCAGCGGCAGCACAAGTGGCACCATACACGGCTAGGAGAAGGAGCAAACCGCCCACTCCATCGACAGCGAGAGAGGGCCAGGTCGATGTGTATGAGATGCTGCAGACGCAGGCGAGGCCGCTGAAGATATCGTATTCGGATTCCGAGCCGCAGCTGCCGGGGGTTCCGAGTGCAGGACGGGCACAACAAGGTTTCAATGCACAGTTCCCGGCAGTTTCAAATGGAGGCCTAGGGACACCCAACCCTGGCCCTGCGCCGAAGGGGGCGAAGGATGTGCTGCAGCGGGTTATCTTCCCGGGAATACACTTGTGCCTTGAGAGATTGGGGGCTGGCCTTGACGAGGCTACGAAGAAGAATATCGGGCGGCAGGTTGCCACTAATCTTTGCGATATTCATCTACAAACGCATCTGGTTTCTAATAAGGGCGTATTATCTGAGACGATGAGGAAAAGGCTCGTTGATAAGTGTGCCTTGCTGGTCGAGATTTACGTCCACAAATTGGGAAAAGGCCCAAAAAGCAGACTGCAGGCACCTCCAGTAGCACGCAGGCAAACAGCTCGTCTGCAGATGAAACAGGCCGTACCGCCTGAGCCAATATTGATTTCTGGCAGCTCCAGCGAGTCCGAGAAGGATGATTTTAAGGATGCTGTTGAAAGGCTCGGGGCAGGGGAAACTACTGGGCAGAAGCGCGACTCTTCGTCCCCAAGCACGTCTTATACCGTCGAGTCTCCCGCGAAAGAACCGCTTGATCCAACGCCCCAGCAGAGGCAGAAGGGGAAAACATATCGGCATGGGAAACTTGATTTAGCGTCGCGTGCACCTGCTCTTGGAAAGCCAGCAAACGCTCACACTCTCGGAAAGCGTGGGGAGGGCAATCGCATCCAGAAACAAAAACAAGCACGGGCACTTCGCTCGGACACGCGGGAAGGGGCGGCGAAGCAATCTCTCCTTCGAGAGGTTGAAACCTTGCGATTAGCCGCCAATGCAGCCCCAAGGCCTTACATCAGTCTATCGGCGCGCAAAGACATCGCTAGGGGTCTTTCGGAACAATGCTTAACTCCGCCGGAGAAGCATGTGATCCATGGTCTTATCGTGCATGTGGACTTCACAGGCGAAGAAGTGCAGTATGTGCGCAATGTTATGGGTGTGTGGCACAGAAATCATGTCGAATCGAAGCCCCCGGGGCAGCGGCTCGGGATTATCAATGGGAGCGTCAAGATTTATCCAAGCCTTCTTCAAATGATAGTGAAGTCTCGGCAAGAGTCTTCGGGAAGTGATGAAGGCGCACGACTTATAAAGCAACGGGGCGAGGATGGCCTAAGAAATTTCCTTGACGATTTTGGCAAGGATATATGGCAAGGCTACATGTCTAATGGCTCCAAGTTCGCAACGGGAACAACTGCTGTATTGCGCGTCGCACCGAAATCCAGAGAATTGGGCACGGGCACGGGCACAAGACGCAATAACCATACCTCGATATCAGCCATCATGCGTGAGCGAGAGCTGTCTCGTGGGACGTTCGGACGGGCCCGTATATCGACCAAAGCCCGCATTCTCACATCTATGGATGATGCGATTGTGCGGGAGATTGAGTTTACTGGTTGTTCTGGAGATATTGCTACGATCACTTGGCTGTCTGGTGATAAGTTTGTGTGTGGTGCGATTACGCATTCTGATGAATCGAATCAGCAATATAACAAGCCCGGCAATTTGGCTCTGGGATCAGTCCAGAAGAGCTTTCTGAGGTCGGTCTCTGGACACCGAATCATACGGCCCATTGTCGAGAAGGGCAGTAACGCGTTGGAGTCCATGCGCGAAACGCAAGACCCTTACCTATACTGTTCGGTGACAGCTACAGCGTTCCATGAAGGCTCTGAGAAAGCGCTGACAGGGAGCTTTGACAAGACCGTGAAGGTCTGGGATATCAACTCGGACGGATCTGGGTTGACCCTATGTGGGACTTGGCACCATGGCGGTGTTATAAACTTTGTCGTCACTTCACCGCATCACAGCAAAATCGCCACCGCCGCCGACGTCTTCAGCGACGCCATCCGCGTTTACGACTTGAACGAGGACGATGTCTCCAATTCCCCATTCGTGTCGTATTCTGGATCCCGCGCCGATGAGCAGTCAGCTGAACAACTCCGAAGCCGGCAATCCTGGCTATACTACCCGTCAACGTTGCAGTGGGGCAAGGCTCCGAGTGTAGCCCATCTCCTTCTTACCGGATACTCGCCGCGCTCGTTCGATGTGCATGACGAAGTGCCTAAAATAGTCGAAGATACGGGCGAGCTCTGCCTCTGGGATACCAACAACGGGACGCGCGTGCTCATAACTTCAGCGCGCACTCAGAACGTGTTTGAGGTGGTGTGGCACCCGACTTTGCCTGTTTTCGTAGCCGCGACGTCAGCGACGGGGGAGCATGAGGATGGGGTGCGAACGCAGCTGCGGATTTTTTGCCAGACGGAGATTGGCACCTTCAGCCATACCAAGAGATTCGATTGTCGCGCAGTGGATATCAATGAGATCACGTTGATGTTGAATAGCCCATTGCACTGCTACCTCACTGCTAGCTGTACGGACGGGAATACATATGTCTGGGACAGTGCGCAAGAGGAGAAACCCATCCATGTTCTAGGCCATGGCAAGTCAATTGATGATCAGTCGCAGGATGACGGCGGGACCAAAGACAATGACCACGAGCGGGTAGACAGCGGTGTGAAATTCGCCGCGTGGGGACGTACTCCCGACCGTTTCTACACCGGGTCTTCGGACGGCGTTGTAAAAGCATGGAATGTGCGTGCTCCCCCCGCTGAAGTGCATGTTGCGGATGTGATTACATTATCCGGCGGCATCTCAGCTGGGGTTTTCTCGAGCGACCATTCTCGTCTCCTCGTCGGTGATGCGACGGGGAAACTGAATGTCTTGAGGTGCGGAGACTTGGATGAGGATGAAGAGTTCCCCGCGAGGCGCCGCCAACAGCCGATTATTCCACATTACGAGGCTCCGAGGTCTGCAGATTATGGGGGTGGGGATCTTGTGGAGCCGAGCCCAGAGCCAACTGCGAGGGAGATGGCGCAGCGGTATGTGGATGCTGGGCAGGTTATTATCCATCCCGATCCCTATGTTGGCGCGGTGCAGGGAGAAAATTACGTGGGCACGGGATTGTTCTGTCGCCAGCTTCACCAGGGTGGAGATCCGCATGCAGAGCCTCTGGAGGAGGTTGTGATGCAGCAGAATAAGAGGTATAAGGGGAAACAGCTTGTCTTATCCACCACACGAGATGCTGCACCTTGTCTCGAGTCCGAGCATCAGAAGAATTACGCGCTGGACCTGCACCTAGGGCAGCTGAGTCTGGAAGCAGCAATTGAGCTCCAGGCATCAGGAGCAGATTTCTCTTTCAACGATAATCATGAATTCGCATATGAGCCTGATCTTGGTGCCGTGGAGCAAGAAAATGAAGATTGGGATGATGTTGTGGACATGGTAGATGTCTCTCCACATGGCGAGAAAGGAGTGTTTCTCAGTAAGTCTCTGTCTCCTTTTTCATCTGTTTTTGCCTGCTTTTACCTGCTTTTACCTGCTTTTACCTGCTTTTTATGACAGTGGTAGAGGGGTATACATTGTAGCTGCTTGACTTTAGACAGAATGGTCTTGTTTATGGTCTTGCGATCTGTAATTGCTTCCTGTTTGACGGTGTATGCTATGGTCTTGTTTATAGGCTGTAGTATATATAATCTCACAAGAAGTAATTACAGATCTTACTTATGGTCTTACAGTCTATGTTTTGCTTCATATTGCATAATATATGCTCTTATAATGAATGGAGGGGTTTCCATTTCTATTACACTATGGAAATGGGGAATTGCCCATGTATTTAAGAGAATAATCTGCTAACATCATATTTTTAATGTAGGTGTAGATGAAAAAGCCGGATTCCAGCATCTTAAAAGCTTCATTCAAAATGAGTTGAAAGCATATGAAGCCCTACAACAGGTGGAAGAGGCTATAAATGATGGGAAATGAGTGTATAATGCAACAGGGGTAACTAAGAGAACCTGTAATGGTCTTTGTAGAAATAAACAGCAATATAATGGTGGCTAGAGGATATGGGGGGGGAGAGGCAATGGAAAGAGATAAAAACTCTCATTTTCTTAGTTTTTATAAATGAGAAACTAGAAAATAAAAGGGGCCCCCTTTTCTGCAACTTCTAAAGTGTTTTGCCCCTTTTTTGTTGTAAAATATAAATAAATAAGGCAAGAAAGAGTAACTATATGCATATTCTATACTATAATGAGGACATATGCCTTTATTATCATACCTATTATTTAGTTTTTTTTTCCTATTTATTTTTTTATATAATAAAACCACTTCTGAGGATTGTACTGAATTTACGAAGACATAGTTGCCATTTCCTAATCTCTACATTGTTTAAATAGATTATCTTCTAAAATAGGATGGAGCTCTAATATTAGCCATAAATTAAACAATGTCAATTATCTCCCTTTGGGACATTGAGAATACTGTGGGTGACATCCCATCAACCATTCCAATCCGCTCCCAGGCACCTGGCACCCGTAACGAACGGCCTAGGTAGAGGACAAGGCATCGCCTCCTCGTCTTACCGATTAATAAGCAGTGGCAGCTACCGGCCCAAGATGTCTTTGGAGGAGATTCACCATATGCAACTCGTACAACAGTTGATATCAGCTGTCTACCGACCTCACCACTCCTTCACTATTTGTGATTTTTACCTTATAATCGAAGGTATATTCTTCCCGTTCGACCGAGTTTCAAGCTCTTCGCGCTTAACAGTAACATTGAGCTCGACGGGAACGAGGTAGCCAGCCACTGTAATCGAACCCGAAGTAGCATTGACTTTTCGACACTAAAGGGATCAATTGATAGATGATGTCCAAAGGTCCAGCATGGATGTAGGAAATAGCGCCATCGACGCTTGCCCAGCTCCAAGTTGGGGCGTAATGCCCAGGGTTCATGCGGCAGTCATGCCTTCCCTAGTGTCTAGATGGCTGTGGTTCCCAACCCAGACCTTCTGCGAGCGTATTTTTCCACAGACCCCAAAAGAGGCGACCAATTTGTTAGGTTTTCAATGCACTTCATGACAGACTCTATGGCTAGGAGCCGGTCCGAAGGACGAGTGATGTTTTTTTTTGTAAATTCCTCCACTAGAAATGTCCATGAGCTGTGTGATATAATCGTCGGTGTTCGCACCGACCACCTGTAAGGTGGTCGGCGAAAGCGAAGTGCATCCGGAAAGCGAAATTGCATCCCGTCATAGCCGAGTCGAGGTTTACACCCAAATATATACGTTTCCCACTCTCAACTATGCACCTGCGATAATTTTGCTCTGTATAATGGACCAAGCCTTCGAATTCCTCCGCAAGAACCCTTCCGAAAAGCCAATCACCGCCGCTCGAATTTATAAGGTTAATACGAAGACGCTTAATTCCTATACTCGACGAGCGAAGTTGAAAGCCGCCGAAGACCCAATATCGCCTCCTATTTAGTTATCGTCATTGAAATATAATTGATTGAAATATAATTGAACTGACCCTACTAAGATATATGTTCCAATGGCCGATAATCGAGTCAATCTGTGCAATTGGACAAGTGATTCCACCAGTGATTATTATACAAGGACGACAACATATGGAGTCCTGGTATCATGAAAAGCTAAGCGGCGATGAGCTTATATTGCTCTCTGATTCTGGGTATACAAATGGCGAACTGGCAATGCTTTATTTGGAGCATTTCATTACACATTCTGATGCTGGGCCTAATAAACCATTAAAAGTCCTTATGGATAGCCATATCAGTCATACAATACCCGAGTTTGTCATACGAGCAACAGCGATGAATATTCATCCATATCCGCTCCCGTCACATCTTACACATATTATGCAGCCGCTTGATATGGGTGTTTTTCAGCCTTACAAACACTGGCACAAGAAGGCAATTTAATATGCAATGCGAAATCTTGATATTGATTACAATATTGCTTCATTTTTTTCGAGACTTAGGCAAAATCTGCCAGGAAACATTCAAGAAAGGCACAATTATAGGACCATTTCATGAAGCTGGAATGTGGCCAATAAACCCTAAAGAAGCCTTGAAAAAATTGAAGGTATATACACTGTCTGAAAAGGCTCTAGACCTACCGCAAATTCCACAGACTCTGACAAAATTTGTACATTCAGAGCTCAAATTACAGCATTGGCAGGCAAAGATACCATACCTTTTGTCAAGTCCATCGGCACGAGAATGGGATTCTTGGGCGCGCGGTACTGAAAATGTCCTTGCTCAAGGAGAGTTAGCTGTTGTACAGTATGATTTACTATCTACAAAGGTTGCGAACCAGCAAAAGGCAAAGGTCAAAAGCCGCAATGTTGTTCAAGCAACGTGTGGTCCATTAACAGCTAAAGATGCTTGGAAAAAAAATAGCTGACAAGGCTAAAAAGGAGAAGGAAACTCAAGAGCGGAAGTCAAAATTCAGAGCACAAATAGCCTTGAATAAGGTCAAAAAGGAGCTTCGTATTCATGGTGTTGAGGCCTGCAAAGCTGAGCTTTTAAGAAAGTGGCAGGTTACCCAGTTGTTAAAAGCAAAGCAGGAGGTGCCTCCTGATTTACTTAATCCAATTCCTGATCCTGAAAAAATTGCACAGGAGTCAGAGATTCAAGAAGAAGCCAATATTCAATTGATTTCAACAATAGGGTGGTCAGGATCACAGGTAGATGATGATGATGAGACTGAATTTATAAGATTTAGTGGTTTTGGATGAGGACGTATTTACAGACAGGACAGAAGAGAATTTGGATTCAGGGTTGTTTTAAAGTAAGAATAGCATTCAATTTTATTTAATAATTTAATCACTTAATTGGTTGTATAACTTAGTTGTTTAGATAGTGCTTATATTAGATTCTACATACTAATGATATCTGGCTGGCAGGATGCAATTTTGCTTTCCGGATGCACTTCGCTTTTGCCGACCACCTGTAAGGTGGTCGGTGCGAACACTGACAATTACTTTCTAATTGCGCCAACCATGAGTATGTAATGGTGGGTGCACCAGATGTGAGAATCTAGCCACCCAAGGAAGGGGATGATATTTACTAAGAACAACACACTGTCTTAGGAAACAGAGCCAAAGGGTTGTAGCTTAGACTATTGACTATTCCACAATGCAGCAATCAAATGTATGATGTAGTGGAGTGGTTTAGACAAGTTGTACAAATGTTGAGTCTGAGAACTCAGGGGTAAGTCAGAGGTTAGCACCTCACTGACTTTTCAGAAACAAAGAATAACAAGATCAATGCTTGGAAGCTTGTAAAAGATGTAGAAGCATGTGCTAGTCGATTTACTGTATTGTCTGCTTGCCCTTTCTTAAGGAAAGGGAATCCTATTTATGCCAAAGGAGTGTAGTTCTCTCATTTTCCAAGACTTTCCATGACTAACCAGGCTTGGTAAATGTATTAGAAATCAAGTGCGACCCACAACTAGCTTGCTAATCATATAGCGAACGTAAGAGAATCCCATAGAACCATCTCTTGGGTTCCTAGCCTATAGGAAGTGAAAAGGAGGTCCAAGGTCAGAGTACCTATAGACAAATTATGTCATAACTTAACCAATCTTGTGGGTAACTAAGGAGCGATGACGTGTAATGAATAATAGAGGGTTGTAGAAGCTTCTAGAGCTATCGTTCATGTTCCTAGGCCTCTAGTTGGTAGAGATATGCCATGTGGTAGTATTGGCCCACCCCCTTAAGGAGGAGACTTTCTTAATAACTTGTTCAATAAATGTCCAAATGGTATGCCGTGATGTATGTAGCATAAACAGATGTAGTAGAAGAGTTTGCATTAATCATTGAGTAGTATTGCTCTTGTTGTTGGTGTGATAAGCCAAGATATGTATGGTGACTTGTAGGTTTGAGGAGGAGATTTCTAAGTTTGCTCTTGAGTTTGATAGCAAATTGAGTGCAACGAATGTCAGTATGACAGAGTAGCCAGAGACCCCCTACACCTACAACTATTTTCTCAAATTGACAAATTGCTCACAACTTTTTCCCCTAGACCCTCAGGGCTCTACTTTTAGTCAATTACACATTATAACTCCCATCTCTATCCATTCCTGATCCTTTCGAGCATCCCTAGGAGGTGATGGAGGCCTCAACTCCCTAACAGCCGGATATAGGCCCCTAAGATAGCACTTTTACTCACCCCTAAGAACCACAATCACTATCCAAACTCAACCGCACTTCTAAGAGACAGCAGAGGACACTTAGTACCAATACTGCACCTCCTCCATGCCTCAGCTTAGGTGAAAGCGCGCCTAACAATCACAAAGCAACAGCAGCCATTAGTGGCCAACTTGATGCCATTAAAAAAGCTAAGATATAACGTACTTCACTACTGAGCTGGCCACACCCCTAAGCTAGCCACTTTTCTTCGCCTATCTAAACTCTCACTTTTAATTGCATTTTTCTCTACAATGCAACATAGAGACGCCTCGTAAAGATGGACAATTGAACCTTGTTTGAAAATCCAGCTTCTCTTGCTTGTATATATGCCTCCATCCATTCTAACTTATGTATGCATAGGAGTTGCGCCTCATTAAGGAGAGAGAGAGCTGTTGTGAGGTGTTTTTTCAAAGGTCCAAAAATTGCAACATCAAGTGGTTGGAGTATATGTGAGGTATGTAGAGGTAGTATAAGGAGTGAAATTCGATTCTGTATACAGTGTGATATGAAGCTTCTGCTAATATGGCTGTCATATCCGTTGCAGATAAGGAGCCTTTGTTGTAGTTGTCCATTTGAAAGTGTTGCTTTTTCCCTTATAGAGGGCTTAAAAATGTGTTTTAGCCACTCTAATCCATGAAGATTGCTTGTCCATGTCCATCCTTTTGTGTTTGTAGAGAAGTGCCATTTGCTTATAACCTCCTTTAGAATCCAGCTCTATAGGACATTCTAGCCCTTAAGATAATGAGGGGGGCGATTTCTATGCCATCCATTGTTACGGCTATCAGCAGAGCTATTAGCCGAGTAGGTCACGAGATAGGACCCCACGACACCCTACAGGATGGAACTGTAAGAACTGTTAGAACTCATACAGTTCCTACAGTTCCTACAGTGCCGAGTGGGTCACGCTATAGGACCCTATGACTGTAATGCTGAC